TTTTCGTCTATCACTTTTGAAATGAATAACATTTCGCTATCAAGATCTAATGACAAATGTGAGATAATCTGGCGCCTGTATTCCCATGCCGTGTAATTCGCCGGATTAAGTAGAAGGACTTCTGTTGTAAGTTCGAATGTTCTTTGACTTCGTTCATTAATAGCCATAACTGCCCTTAAATAATCATGAGCATCGATGAATTTTTCGGAGTAAGCAATTCGTACAATATTCCGAACATCATCCTGCTGGATAGGAGTAATATCTTCCCACTCTGGCCTGTTCCTATAAAAAATATAATGATTTCTTGTATCCATAGTCAAATTGACAGTCTTAGACATTACGAAAAGAGGCAGAAGCGAAATAAGGAGCCACAATAAGCAATGAATAAGCCGCGCTTTAAAAAAACAACAAACAAATTATATCTTATTTTAATTGTTGAAATCAAATGATTTGTAAATATATATTTTTAGTAGTGTTTGTACAAGCATTGCGCTGAGCTATCGGCGCGTCAACTAAGTCTCCTCGTTTTTCTCCGTTGCCCTCTTTGAATGTAATTTCCTCATAACGTTTGTGTTACCTTACTGAAATTGTTTAGTTTTTATTTACAGACAATCTAAATGACGGAATCAACAACTGCAAAGCTTGAATTAGATTTAAGTATCCCCAGCCCGATAATCCACAAAAGGAATCGTACAAGTTCTCAAAGCGAGAGAGCTGCGTTAGGAGAGCATGGAAGGGGGACTATAGAATTCTTTTGTCGAACTAAGGGACATGGATTTATATCTCCTGACGATGGCTCGGAGCATGTATTTGTTCATGTGTTTGAGTAGGTGAATATTATTTTGAGCATCCATTTTTCAGCGTCGAAGGGGAATTCGTCCCGCATAAAGGAGATGTTGTAGAATACAGAAAAATAAAAGTTCCTCCAAAATGTGAGAAGTGGCAAGCTGTTCACGTCAAATTGGTTAACTTTGCCCCTGGTAAACATGAAACATGGAACGAGCGCCCTCATCTTGGGGAAATTCCGGAATCAAACTGATCGTACACCATTTCCCGAGCTTAAAAAATCGATTGATACGAAATAAAGTGCATTTCAGTGACTGATCTATTAGTGATTACTAAAACCGCTACCTGCTACTGTTTTAATTATGCAAGCGCCAAGCTAGCTTTTGTACTTTTATGCTAGCCACTATACTCATCGCACGCTTATTTATTATATTTCTAGGTATTTTTCTTCTACTCAAATACTAGTATAAACAACGCAG